TTTTTATATAGAATCCGTCATTAAACGATTGCATATTGTCTCATCTTAACTAACAAGTGTGATTACTTGTGTAGTTATTTAATTACTTTGACAGGTTTCATATTTGAAGTTCAAGTTGAAGATTAACTGAAGAAGGATTTGTTTATTTGTTTGAATGTATATATACATATATATATATTTTTATTCTTTCCGCTATTTTATTTATTTGAATGATGTAACAATTGTAACCCTAAAGATCATATAATAAAGTTATTTGGGGGTCGTCTAGGGGAGGGGGACTTATATGCTTACTTGCTCATATTTTATTTTTTTTAGAAATCATGCCTATAGGTTTGTCTTTAACCACCTAGATTTGATATTTGTAGGTGTTATAATCTAATCAATTTTCAATTTGCTTGACGTTTTTGTTAACAAGTCTTAAAAAACTAGAATCCATTAATTTTTAAATGTTAAAATCAAATCCTAATAAATCTAGTAGGTTGTTAGATGTTAAAATATTATAAATTCTCATTTGTCTTATCATGTAGAAACCATGTCTAAGGTTTAATTTGTTCATACCATTTACGAAATCATGCATATATATGTTACTTTTTTTGAACACCTAGAAATCATGTCTATAGGTTTGTAAATAAGAGAATAAAATTTGTTTGTGCATATTTGAGTCCTCCCCTAAAATTAATTAATATTATTTAACTAGTAGTCCCATTTGTTTTCCACATTCGTAATGCATTATTTTTTTTCTTCTTAATACTAACTTAGAATCTTTTCATGCATTTAACTTGGCTTTAAAAAACATTTCAAAACCTTGTAACATAAATTATTTTTTTTTAAAAAAAAAGGTCATTATTCAATCTTTCTTTAAATTTTGGATTGATTATGACTACTTTATTTTGAAATAAATTATAAAGTACTATCTCCTAACCTATCGTTAGTGGGAAAGTCAAACGAACTACGAGGTCTAGTTCCAATTTTTAACCGATGCGTCCCCGGAAGTACCACTTCCCATGAACTTCAAAAAGAATTATGTGCATTTATATATAATTGTTTATGTGCCTATGTGTGAACTAAATCTTTTAAATCATTTTTCAAAACATAACTATTTTTAGACCGACCTCAAATCAAAATTGTTTCTATGGTGGAGGAGCGCGATCAATAATATCGTGGCATCATCCCTATAAAGAAACAAACATTTTTTTAAAATAAAAATTCCTATTCAAAACTTATCAATTTTCAAACTTTATTTTCGCACATATTAATTGCTTAATATTTGCCAATTTTGTTTATAACATAGTGTCGTATGTCAAAATAAATAAAATGAGCTTAATTGTTTATTTATTGCCATCACCTAGCTTTACATATCTAAATAAATAAGAATAATAGTCTTAATTGTTTCGTATTTGTTATCACTTAGTAAGATTAAATAAATTAATAAACGACCTTGATTGCTATTTGTACCCCCACATAGATTGCATGAGATACGGTCAGGACCCACACTTGTGGACCTCGAGGGATTCCTAACACCTTCCCCTCGAGGTAATTTGAACCCTTACCCTAATCTCTGGCTCGTTGACCTTAGTTAGACTTAGTTAAGTTAGATAGGCGCCCTAACGCGCCTTAATTCGTTAGGTGGCGACTCCAAAACTCAAAAAATCCCAAAAGAGTTGTTAGGTCGTGCACAAAACCCGTTTTCCGCGAAAATGGGGCGCGACAGAATGGCGACTCCGCTGGGGATGTTAGGTTCTTACCATTACGTGTTAACTGCTTATTTATGTGGGGTTTATTTTATTCATTAGGTGCTTACCATGTTTTGTTGCCCTATTTATTATCTCTTCTTCATGTTCCTCCCTTTCCCTTTTCCTTAATTGTTTATTATCATGTTTCACCTCTTCCCTCTCCCCTTATTTGTTTACATGTTTAATCTCGTATCCTCTTGCTTTATTTGCGTAGTTTTCATATCTTTATATGTCTACTTTCCTTTATTTATGCTTATTTATTTATTGTTTATAAACTGCCTATATGTTACCGTTTTCCAATTTAAATGCTAAATGTTTACTGCTTTAATAAATTGGCATCCCGCTCATACTTCCCCCAATTGGGACCCTCTTCCTTTTTATTTTGTTCTCGTGATGTTGTGCCTTTGCACCTCTCACAACTACTCCAATCTTATACAAATACCCATTATAGAGAGTCGGCATATGCGTGGACGTAGTGGATAGTTTTACTACCGCGAAGCCACGAGCCTCTCGCATAGAATCCCTTTCAAGTCCGTGTCAAGCCAACTCTTAGAAGTCCTGGTTAAGTCATACATGCTGCATAAGCCCTAGGAGGTTTGACCCTTGGTGCCAATCCATGTAATTAGTAGCCACCTTCTCGTCTGAAGGGCCCCAACACCCTTAGACAAATTGCATATTTATGTGTCAACGTGATCATAATAATTAAATCAAGCCAACATTGCCAAAATGGAGTTTAGAAGTTGTTTGTTACTTTGTTTGCAGAGTCATGGCTCACCCTCACTTTCCAAACACGCAAATGGTGGTCAAAGTTAATCCCATTTTGAAGACTTGGTGGAAAGATATTCAAAAAAATCGAGAGTTCGAAGCAAATGAATTGTTAGGCGGCCTCACTGTTTTGATCTCCGTAGAGTCAGATCGTCACTTAATCAAGGCATTGTTGAAATTCTGGGACACTGAGAGGTTAGTCTTCAAGTTCAGGGATTTTGAGCTAACTCCAACAATAGAAGAAGTTGGAGGATTCATGGGTCTCGCATACAAAGAGTTGGAAATGATTGTTCCACACAAGCCAAGTCCAAGATCTTTTCTGAAGCAAATGGGCATGTGTCATAATCCAAATCTACTTTGTCTGAAAGAAGGTTGGATTTCTTTAGAGTTCTTATATTCACGCTTTGGGGATGAGGAAGGTCATTAAAACTTTCATAGAGAATTCGCTTGCTCTTCTGCAAAATGGGAAAGGTATCGTCTTAATGCATTCGCTGTCGCCCTATTAGGCTCATTGGTTTTTCCTAGAGAAGGAGGAAAGATCCACACCGGCTTATGTTACGTGGTTCGTATGTTGGCTCGAGGTGGGAAAACCTTGGTCCCTATGATACTCGCAGAAATTCTAAGAGCTTTGACTGCATGCACCAAAGGCAAAAGATACTTTGAAGGGTGCAACTTTCTGCTGCAACTTTGGGCCGTCGAACATTTCTAACAAAGAGCTAATAAAGTAGACATCGTCAGAGGGACTATGGGGAACAAAATTATCAACCATCCCCTAAGGATGAAACATTTTATCTCCCCTATGGGAACAGAGGACTGGTTCACATACCTAAAGGAGCGGTCAGCCGTTGAAATCCAATGGAAGTATTATTGGTTGAAGCCACGACGTGTCATCATAAGAGGAAATGAACTTTACTTCATTGAGCTTATCGGTTTGAATGGTGTGCAACCCTACGCACCACTTCGAGTCCTTGGACAATTCGGACAGATCCAAATGATACCTCTACGATCCCACATGAGCCACTATGGATATGACTTTGGGTCAGAATTACCGCAAGTGAACACCATACTGCGAAGATGGAAGAATGTGATAACTATCGATGTTCAAGAGCACCGACCCTTCTGCACACCTGAATATTATGTATGGCTTTTAGAAGATGCAGAGCATAGAGATTTAAGCGAAGGAGGTCTTCCTGGTTTTGGCGATGAAAAAGAGAGAAGATGGGCTCGCAACCTCCTCAACACTGATTATGACATTACCCTAGAAATGAAGAAGCAAATTGTGCCTAACATTGGAGAGCAACATGATTAAAGCTTTTTATTATTATTTATTTCTCTTTACTCCCCATATGTTATCCCTAGCCCTTTAGTTGTCTTTAGATTGATGTAATAAACAGAAATTATTTCAATAATCGAAAGTTGATCTATTATCTAACTCTAAACTCCAAATTGGCAAATATGGCTTGAATTAATTATTATGCATCACTTATGTGTAGCTTAGGCCTACCTCTGGCTCAACGAGGTTCCTTGCATTTAGGGCGTTTATTTCAAAACAACGTGTTGATATTGTGATATTATCTTAACCCCTAACTCTTTTCTTTTAATTCTATTGTTTTCCCATTTCCTAAGGTTGATCTGTCCTTCATCCTGGCACATACACGATCAAAAGGGACCCCCCCTTCTCCTTCTTCTCAAAGAGGAAGCTCAAAAGACAAAGGAAAAATGGTTGACGACAACAGCACCACTGAAAGGGTAGAAGCTTCTGAGGGAGGACAACTTCATAGTAATCTTATCCTAAGACTCGAGCGCAAGATTTCGCAATTGAAAGAAGAGGTAGCCAACATGCGTGATTTGGCCAAGTTGTCTATCTCTCTTGGAACCCAATTTGGAGAAAACATAGACAATCCTCCTAATCAAACAGCCACGCCAGACAATCCTCCAATTCATATATCCCCACCTGAACCCATTCGTCCAAATGCCTTTCCACCACCCCACGCCCAAAATACCCAATTTCCATTTCACCACTATTACCAACATACCAAACCAACTGTCCCAGAAACAACCCCAAACACAAATATCCCACATACTTTTGGGAACAACAATCCCAATCCCATATACGTTGAAACTGCCCCTCTGACTCATGACCTCCATGAGTCAGAGTCCCATCAGAAAGACATCTTAATAAAAACCCTGACTGAGAGATTAGACAACTTGACCAACAGGGTACAACACGTGGAAGGAAACAAAAGGTTGGGAGGATTGGGCTATGAGGATCTGTGCATGCATCCTGATGTGGAACTGCCCGAAGGATACAAGCTTCCGAAGTTTGAGACGTTCAATGGCATTGGGGATCCCAAAGCCCACCTACGAATGTATTGCGACAAACTTGTAGGGGTGGAAAGAGATGAGAGGATACTCATGAAGTTGTTCATGAGGAGTCCTACTGGGGAGGCCCTATCATGATACATTGAGCAAGACTCGCGGAAATGGATAAAATGGGTTGATATGGCAACTGACTTCATGAATAGGTTTGGTTTCAATATTGAAAATGCGCCTGATTGGTTTTACATTCAGAACCTAAAGAAGAAACCAAGTGAATCCTTCAGAGAATATGCCATAAGATGGAGGTCTGAGGCGGCTAGGACCAGACCCCCTATGGAAGAATCTCAAATGAAAGACTATTTCATCCGTGCCCAAGAACCACAATACTATGACCGAATGATGCTGGTGGCTGAAAAGAGTTTCGCTGAAATCATCAAACTAGGCGAAAGAATTGAAGAAGGCATAAAGAATGGGACTATCATCAACTTGGAGGCTTTACAAGCAACCAACAAGGCTCTGCAATCTAGTGGAATGACAGAGAGTCGAAAGAAAACAGGTTCTGTAATGATGGCTCATGGAACTAGGACCCCTTTGAGGCACAAGACAACAAACCCACCACCATCCCCATACCCTCACACCCCATACCTTCACACCCTATACCCTCAACATCCCTCAGCTCCACCCCTTATATCTCCCCAACCCATGCCAATATATTACCAAAATGCTCCTCCTCAATATTTGCATGCCTCATATCCTGTCTATAATGTTCAACCAACACACTTCCAAACTCCACCACCCACTCAAACACCAAATTACCGAAACAGACCTTCCTATGAAAGAAGACCTACAAAAACCTATACCCCTTTGGCTGAACCCATAGCACAACTTTATGAGAGACTGAAACAAGCTGGGTACGTCTCTCCAATTCCTGCATTACCTATGGACGTTCACGCGAAATGGTACGACCCTAACAAGGTCTGCGCCTACCATTCTGGGATGAAGGGCCACACCACCGAAGTTTGCAGAGCCCTTAAGGATAAGGTTCAAATGTTGATTGATACAAAAACCATCCAACTGAAGGATCCTACACCGAATGTTGCGAATAATCCTCTCCCTAACCATCAAGTCAACATGGTGGAAGCTGGTGATGTCTTGGATTGGGAAGAATCTATCTGGGCCGTCGAAACAGAGGAAGCCATGCCTACCATTGCCCAGACACCACTAATAGTGCAAGGACTCGCCCCATTTGAAGTAGAAGTTGCTGCACCCAGACCACCATTCGCTGTCTATAAGGCATTCTCCCCAATACAATGTGACACACATGCTGTACCTTGGGATTACAACAAAAGAGAAACAAATGTGGAAGAGACAGATGTTGCAACAGGGGTCACCAGATCTGGAAGAATTTACACTTCTGAAAATTTGGTTCAGGGAAGCTCTAGCAAATCCAAAGCGCCAATCGTAGAGTTCGAGGATCAAAGTATTTGGAAAAAGGTTAAAGCTAAAGAATACTCTGTCATTGAGCAGCTGAGTAAAACCCCTTCCCAAATATCAATTCTAGAGTTACTAAAATCTTCCGAAACTCATCGAGATGCCCTTCTGAAGATCCTTGGTGAAGCTTATGTCCCGTCTAACATCACTCATGGAGAGGTATCCCGAATGGTGGGGCAGGTCTTTGAGGCTTACAAAATATCTTTTCACAAAGATGAACTGCCAATCGAAGGAACAACTCACAATAAAGCTTTGTACATTTCGGTTCAGTATCAGGATAAGGTGATAAACAAAACATTAGTTGATGCAGGTTCAGGTTTAAACATTTGCCCTCTGAGCACACTGACGAGGCTGGGTGTGGATAGTGCAAAAATTCAGACATGGAAGATGAATGTGAGGGCATTTGACGGCTCTCAGAGAGGCACTATTGGGGAGATAACCTTGGACATGCTCATTGGTCCTGTCACTTTCCCCATAGCTTTCCAAATTTTGGAAATCCCTTCATCGTACAACTTATTATTGGGTCGTCCATGGATTCATATGGCTGGAGCGGTTCCATCTACTCTTCACCAATGCCTGAAGTTTGAATGGGATTACAAAGAGGTTGTGGTCCATGGGGAAAAAGGGCATCCTGTATACACGATTGAAGGAAGAGAGAATATGGATGGCGAAATGTACCATACAGTGGAGCTTGTTGGTAATATTGAGTTGCAACCTTGGTTCAGCCAAAAAATCATAGATATGATGGCCTGGTTCGGTTTCGAGCTTGGGAAAGGTTTGGGGGCTAAATTACAAGGGATAGTCGAACCTATACAGCCTGTTCGACATTCCACCACTTTTGGTTTGGGTTATAAATACACCACCGAATAATGGCTCGATTGGCGACCACCTAGAGATGGGTACTACTATCCATTGAAGAAACCCATACCGCCATTGTATCAATCATTTCGATCAGCAGGTTTCATGAGAGACAATACTGATGAGATCTCAGATGACTTGAAGGGGTTATCGCTAACCAAAGAAGAAGGGAAAGTTTGCAACGTCGTGATCAACGAGGAGGAGAAAGGGGGCCCTAGTGGAAGCAAGGAGGCAAAGATCAGCGTCAGCAACTGGACCTCGACTCCATCCAGACCTCGTCGAGCATCTGGGTAGCCTTGGAAGATGTTTTTCTATCAAGTTTTAATTCAAATAAAGGAGTTTTTAATAAACGTTTTAATTCCCGTCCCATGTATTGCTTTCAAATGATGACTTATGAAATTTTCAAATCTTTATCAATAAAGTTCTTTTCCCCATTTTTTTTTGTCTTGTATTTAATCTTTACTATTTTTTTTCTCACCAGCAAAATTCATTATAAAAATGTCGAATCTGAGATTGTGGCATACAATAAGACTGCTCAGCTTAACCTTAATGACTTAGAAGAAGTCGAAGACAATGAGATTCCCGAGGAGTTAACCAAAAGGGTTGAGGAATTCGAGGAAAAACCCAATCCAAATTTGGTAGAGACAGAAGTGGTGAATTTGGGAAATGCAGAGGTGATACAAGAAACCCGAGTAAGCATCCATATGACAAAAGAAGACAAGAAAGAGTATACCGAGTTTCTCATAGAGAATAAGGATATTTTCGCGTGGTCCTACGCAGACATGACAGGGCTAAGTACTGCAATCGTAGCCCATCGACTACCCACTGATCCAGCATGTCCTCCGGTAAAACAGAAGCTGAGAAAATACAAGCCCGAGATGAGTTTGAAAATCAAAGAAGAAGTATCAAAGCAATTAGATGTAGGGATACTACAAGTGACAGAATACCCAACTTGGCTTGCAAATGTCGTTCCAGTGCCCAAGAAAGACGGCAAGGTCAGAGTTTGCGTGGATTACCGAGATCTCAATAAAGCTAGCCCTAAAGATAACTTTCCATTACCAAATATACACATACTGATTGATAATTGTGCTAAGCACGAAACTCAGTCATTTGTGGATTGCTTTGCCGGCTATCATCAAATTGAGATGCACAAAGCCGACGCTGAGAAAACCACTTTCATCACGCCGTGGGGCGTCTATAACTACAAGGTGATGCCTTTTGGACTAAAGAACGTTGGAGCTACGTACATGAGAGCGATGACTACTTTGTTTCACGACATGATCCATAAGGAAATTGAAGTTTATGTGGATGATGTCATCATCAAATCAAAGGAAAGTTTAAATCACTTGGAGGATTTACGGAAATTCTTTGCCAGGCTACGCAAGTACAATCTGAAACTGAATCCAGCAAAATGTGTCTTCGATGTGCCTGCTGGAAAGCTTTTAGGTTTCAGTGTCAGTCGTCGAGGTATAGAATTGGACCCGTCAAAGATCAAAGCCATTCGTGATCTTCCCCCACCAAAGAGCAAGAAGGAGGTAATGAGTTTCTTAGGGCGACTTAACTACATCAGTCGTTTCATTGCTCAGTCTACTGTCATCTGTGAACCTATCTTCAAGCTGTTAAAAAAGGATGCTGCAGTGAAATGGACAAGTGAATGTCAACAGGCATTTGACAAGATCAAAGACTATCTATCCAATCCTCCTATATTGGTGCCACCAGAGTCAGGTAGACCATTACTTTTGTATATTTCAGTATTGGATAATGCTTTCAGTTGCATCTTAGGACAACACGATGAAACAGGGAGGAAGGAGCAAGTAATATATTATATGAGCAAGAAGTTCACATCGTGCGAAGCCCGATACTCTCTATTAGAGCGTACCTGTTGTGCTCTAACATGGGTTGCCCAAAAGTTACGACATTACCTCTCATCGCATACCACTTATCTGATTTCAAGGATGTATCCTTTGAAGTATATCTTTCAAAAGCCTATGCCCACAGGTAAACTGGCAAAATGGCAGATACTGTTGAGTGAGTTTGACATAGTGTATGTCATGCAAAAAGCAGTGAAAGCACAGGCATTAGCAGACCATATGGCAGAGAATCCCGTGGACGATGATTACAGACCGCTGAAGACCTACTTCCCAGATGAAGAGGTGGCGTTTGTGGGAGAGGACATTTCTGAAGAATATGATGGATGGAGAATGTTTTTTGATGGAGCTAAAAATCTGAATGGATGCGGCATTGGGGCTGTTTTGATCTCACCCACCGGGCAACATTATCCAGTATCAGCAAAACTCAGATTCCTTTGCTCAAATAATATGGCCGAATACGAAGCCTGCATACTAGGTCTCCGACGGGCGATCGACTTGGATGTCCAGGAAATGATAATAATAGGGGATTCAGACCTATTGATCCATCAGGTTCGAGGTGATTGGGCAACAAAAAATCGAAAGTTGTTACCATATTTGGAGTGCGTGCACAGGCTATGTAAAAGGTTTGTCAAAACAGAATTTAGACATGTACCAAGGGTCCAAAATGAATTTGCAGACGCCTTAGCTACTCTGTCTTCTATGATTCGACACCCTGATCACAATTACATCGATCCTATTCACATTCATATACATGAACAACCAGCTTATTGTTTCCATGTTGAGGAAGAGCCTGATGGAAAGACCTGGTATGATGACATTAGAGGATATTTGAAGAGTGGTGAATACACAGAAGATGCAACAAGTGTACAAAAGCGTACAATTCGAAGGTTAGCAACCCAATTCTTCTTAAGTGGGGAAATACTCTATAGGAGAACTCCCGATTTGGGACTGCTAAGATGCGTCGAAGCAAGAGAGGCTCGCAGGCTGGTCGAAGAGATACAAGCAGGCACCTGTGGCCCTCACATGAACGGTTTTACATTAGCAAAGAAGATTCTGAGATCAGGATATTATTGGCTAACTATGGAGACAGACTGCATTCGCTACGTCCAGAAATGCCATCAATGTCAGACTCACGCAGATATGATTCGAGTACCTCCCAACGAACTCCATGTCACTAGTTCACCTTGGCCGTTCGCAGCATGGGGCATGTATGTCATTGGTCCAATCGAGCCAACAGCATCCAACGGGCACAGATTCATTCTTGTTGCAATTGACTATTTCACCAAGTGGGTTGAGGCCACCTCCCATCAATCAGTGACAAAGAAAGTTGTGGATGACTTTGTCAAAAACAACATTATTTGTAGGTTTGGAATTCCTGAGTCAATCATCACCGATAACGGCACCAACCTAAACAGTGACCTGATGAGATCAATGTGTGAGAAGTTCAAGATCAGTCATCGAAACTCTACAGCATACAGGCCACAGATGAATAGGGCTGTTGAGGCGGCAAACAAAAACATCAAAAGGATATTGCGCAAGATGATCGATAATCACAAACACTGGTAGGAAAAGCTACCTTTCGCATTGCTGGGGTATCGTACCACAATCAGAACTTCCACAGGGGCCACACCTTACTTCTTAGTATACGGCACCGAAGCTGTGATACCCGCCGAAGTTGAGATACCTTCCCTAAGGATCATCCAAGAAGCAAAGTTGAGTGATGCTGATTGGATACGAGGTCGGGCAGAGAATTTGGCATTAATAGATGGAAGAAGAATTAACGCCATTTGTCATGGTCAGCTCTATCAGAATAGAATGGCCAGAGCTTTCAACAAGAAGGTTAAACCCAGACATTTCTCACCTGGGCAACTGGTTTTGAAGCGGATTTTTCCAAATCAAGACAAGGCAAAGGGTAAATTTTCACCAAATTGGCAAGGTCCATACATAGTCTCTCGAGTACTGACAGGCGGAGCCCTCATACTTGCAGAAATGGATGGAGAAGTTTGGCCAAAACCTATCAATTCAGATTCTGTGAAAAAATATTACATCTAGAGATTGATTCATGCTCTTTTGAATTTGGAACTACGTCAGACCTGATTCCCATTTAAGAGGGGATACGTAGGCGCTCCTATGGGGTTCGGTCTTATTATAAATAAAACTTTCATTTCCCCCTTTTCTACTGATAACTGGGCAGAATTTTTGAGAGGATCTCAAAAATTCCATCAAGACTTCTCCTGGCACATCTTCATACTGGGGCAGAAATTTTGAGTAAACTCAAAATTTCACCAAAAGTTTCTTCTCAACAAGCAGTCAGCTTACAACGAAGATTAAATGATAGCTCCACTTTTCAGTCAGACGTTGTAAAGTCTCAACCTATGCCATGGTCAAAGATTCGACATCAGCTTTTATTAAATGATAATTTCAAAATCTTTGAAAGTTTTTGTTTTTATTATTATTATTTTTTCTCTCCTTTTCCTTTTTTTTTATGAAAAAAAGTAGACGCTCGAAGAGGTGTGGATGGCAAGCCAAAGGAGCACGCTGCGCCAAATCACGGATACAGATCAACCTTCCCCCGTTTAAACTAACTATTTTTCTTTGAATGTAGAAAATACAGGTACATATACAAAGGCAACTGCAACAATCAACATCACAACATTTGAGCCCGACATATGACACTCGATCCTTCCAATAAGGCGGACGCCCAAGCTACTGTATGCCCTCAAGCAACTACTGTGCTGACAAATTACATTATGCCCGATATTGCATCATTTCGCACCTACGCTTGATATCACCCTATGCTCAAAGAACTACATCATTATGTTATGCCCGAGAATGCCAAAATGCATCATTTCATGTGCTTGATATCGCATGAGCCCGAAGAAACACATTATTGCATGTGCTCGATATATCATGTGCCCGAGGAAATACATCATCGCATATGCCCAATATTGACTTATGCTCGAAGAACCGCATTATTGCATGCGCTCGATATTTTATGTGCCCGAAGAAATGCATCATTGCATGTGCTCGATATTTCATGTGCCCGATGAAACACATCATCGCATATGCCCAATATTGACTTATGCTCGAAGAATTGCATTATTGCATGCGCTCGATATTTTATGTGCCCGAAGAAATGCACCATTACATATGCTCAATACTGCATGTGCCCGATATTACAATGTGCCCGAGGAAGTGCATCATCGCATTGTGCTCGATATTGCATGTGCCCGAAGAAATGCATCATTGCATGTGCTCGATATTGCATGTGCCCGAAGAAATGCACCATCGCATCGTGCCTGAGACTGCATTGTGCCCAAAGAAATGCATCATTGCATGTGCTCGATATTGCATGTGCCCGAAGAAATGCACCATCGCATCATGCCTGAGACTGCATTGTGCCCAAAGTTTGCATAAGCTCAAGATTGCATCGTGCTCGAAGTTTACATGCGCCCGAATCAAATCAAGTCACAAGAGTATCAACAGATGTCAAAAAATAGATACGCTCTCTTTACTCATTAGTTATATCCCAAAGGCGTCATCCTCCAAAGGCGTCATCTTTCATGGCCTGCGGACTTCATGTCATGGCCTGAGGACTTATTTTATGCATATCATGTTCCTAAGGCGTCATAGTCTAAAGGCATCATCCTCATGGCCTGCGGACATCATATCATGGCCTAAGGGTTTAATTTCTGTCTATCATGATCCGACGGTGTCATAGTCTAAAGGCGTCAATTTCATAGCCTACAGACAACATTTTCATGACCTGAGGATACACCCTGCATATCATGGCCCTAGACATCATAGCCTAAGACGTCATTTTTTCACGATCTTAAGGCAAACATTCATGGTCAACATGGGAATTGCATCATGTTTACATTTACCATTTATTTTGATGTGTATGTTCTAATTACTCTACATAGGTTATATTACAAGTTACAGATGTGCAGATTACAGACAAAGTCGCCTTTTGAACGGCTTTTCACTTGTTTACAAGCGACCCTCCGACAAATTCCTGGCTACTCGCACCATCATTTCGCTCTTCATCTACCATTCAGGCTACCATGAAGATATCTTCGGATTCAACTCGCCACTATGACCTACTGTCTCTTCATTTAGGCTCGTCCGCCTTACAATGCGACATCTAGGTTCGTCCACCTTACAATGTGACATCTAGATTCGTCCGCCTTACAATGTGACATCTAGGTTTGTCCGCCTTACAATGTGACATCTAGGCTCGTCCGCCTTACAATAGGATATTTAGGCTCGTCCGCCTCAAAACGACATTTAGGTTTGTCCATCTTATAGAACATTTAGGCCGTCTATCTTAAAGGGACATTTAGGCTTGTCCGCCTCATAGGACATTTAGGTTCGTCCGCTTATAAGATATTTTGTTCGCTTTATAAAACATTTAGGTTGTCTGCCTTAAAACGACACTTAGGCTCGTCCGCCTTAAAATGACGTTTAGATTCTCCATATAACTAGATATTTTCGTCTATTAATATATCTTTATAGTGTCAAATCTATTGGAGTTTGACGTCATTCATCAGAGATGGGTTCAGTCCTTCAAGAAGTTACAGACAATCAAGGCTTGCAGTACGTCTCAAACAGATACGCCTTTTATCACCTCTTGTCTATTTAATAGAACTCATATTTTATTATTATTGGTCATACTTTATTTATTTATAAGCTAACATTTTATCTAGAATTTGCAGATATGATCGATCGCCTTTGATCACAATTATATCGCTATCCTCTATCAATTCTTCGCCTTTCATACTCCGAACCCTTGTTCAGATGTTGATAACCCCACTCTATCATGCTCTTCACGCTTCTCTGTCATACTCTTTTAGCCTCAATCTCTCTCTTCTCGCTACTCTAATCTTATCCATTCAAGCCGATATCGTGCCTTCCAAATACCTTACCGCTCTTTCAACTTTTAAGAGTTTCATTTGCTCTTGAATCCAGAACTACACACGACCTGATTCTCGTATAACCAGAGATATGTAGGCGACTTAAAACCAAAGTCTCGGTCGTACCCTTTTTTCAACTCTACTTCGCTTCAATTGATCCGCTGACATCTGTCGTCGGTCGGACAAAAATCGGCTACTAAGTCAACGTTGGTTGCCTGACAATTCATTCTTCATTTTCAATCAACCAAGGGGCAGCTGTTGACACCCAATTTTGACCGACCTTTGACCCTTTTTTAGGAATACTATTAGATTAAATACACATTTTAAACTTTAAAATTTTTAGTCGACTTTGCTTGAAAATTATAAATTTTAGTATGTTCTACTTTATAAAATTATCGTATATATTTTTAAAATATTTTAAAATTATTAACGAATTTCAAATGTTTCAAAGTTAAATGATTTTTACACTTTCCTTAAAAATATTTAAGTTCTAGCCTATTTTATTCTAATTTCTTTCAATTCTAGCCACTCCAATTAAAATTTTATTACAATAATAGCCATCTCTTCCTTGCACTCTAGCCAATTTTAATTGCAATTTTAGCCATTCCGTATCTAACTCATCTAATTTCAAGAAATCATCTTTTGATCTCATCCGTCTATTTAATTAATAAATCCTAGATCGAATCCTAACCCTTCATCTCTATCTAAATCGACGGTTGTGATTAAATCTCCCATTCTCCTTCTTCAACACCAAAGGACTCTAATCCCTAAAATAACTCTCACTCTCTTCCTCCCCTCCCTCTCTCCAGCCGCTCCTCTCTCTTCGCCACCTCTTCCTCTCCAAGCAGCCGCCTCCCTTCTCTCTCCTTCTCCTCCATCTTTTCCGACGAGGGAGACAGCCAGGCGACAAGCAACAACAGCCATGGAGGACAGCATCAGCAGCCATGACCGACGAGGATTCAACAGCGGTCGCCGGCGAGAACTCCTGCGCCCGGCCAGCAGCTGCAAAAAGAGGCGAACGACCACCTCTCTCTCCTCGTCACCTCCCTCTCGTCGCTCTCGCAAATGGCGAGCAACCAGCCCCACCAGCGTGTTGTAAACAACGGCTCCAACGGACAGCAGCAAGCAGAAACAACCTACAACCAAAGCTCCGCCGGTATCTCGCCAGCAGTGAGCTATAGAGACCCCGCGTCTCTTTTCCGGAGGAGGCACCAAAACCAACGCCACCATTCGCCTACTTCTCCGTTGAAGACAACAAAGTATCGATAATGGATTTTTCTTGGACCTCGACATTTTGGGTGATTTTATACGGATATCGACAGATCCGTCCATGTTAGTTTCTCTTTTAAAATTTGCCCGTCATATATGTTCATTTCATCTATAGAGAAACCTTGTTTCTTATGAATGCTTATTTTAGACTATTTTCTCTTCAACAATGAATTGTCGGCTAGTTTTGCTGATCTCGTGATTCGTGAACTATTTCATAGTCATTTTCTAAACAACGTACATATGCATATTTTAGCTTTGTTGAAATGTCGTTCTGATTTAAGATATGTGTCTGGTTACTGTTGTTGATTTCTAAACTGATTTAGTACTATATCCTGTAAATGAGTTGATTTGTCAAAATTTTAATTGAAGATTAATTCAAGGGTTCTGATAAGGATATGCTAGGTCATATATGCTGGAAATCAACCTTAAGGGTGTATTGGGTACTCGACTTTTGGATAGTGTAATAGTAAGAAATTATAATAATTAAGATACAATCATGCCCGACTATGGTAAAGGTATATTGGTATATTTTTGAGCCGTAATTATCACCCTCCTCGTATTTAATTATTACATGTCTGTCTTGATTTTTTTTCTTTCATCCCTTTTTCCTTATTTTGAAAATTGACAGATTTCTTATTTGTCTATATTTGGTTAAAAGAATATTTTAAATTATATTTGTTTTGACTCTCTTGAAATCAGAATAATAGTAATTGACCCTCTTTCCTTATATTGTTTGTGTAGATGTATTCATGGTAATTTATTATTAGGTAAATGTTTGACAACTTTAAATTATTTTCTTGTCATATTTAGTTGCTCATATTTTGGTAAAATAAATTAAAATCTGATTTTAACTTTTTTGTTATTTAAGGA